CTCTCTCTCTTTTTTTTTTCTGTCTGTATAAAAACAATATTGTAATATACTGGGCAGTTTCCTATAGAGAAAAGACAAAGTAGAAGAGGTAGTGGTACAAGCTACACTTAAATATTGAGAGGAAAGCTGAGGAAAGTTTTAGCTGGGGAATAATTTCAGTTAATTTATGTTAATTTATAAACACTCTGTCACAGAATCGAAATCCCCCATGTAGCTGGTCTTAAATATGTTGCAAATTGCAAGAATAAAAACCTTGCTAAGATTATCAAAACTTTGATTATACAGTTAATACTTTTCTTACTTTTCTGGATGTAAGCTTATTTCGCTTGTTCAGAATAAAAACTGCTTTGTCAACCACGGCTAAGGCAACTATTCCTTCATGGTCTGTTTCAATCAGTAAATTGATGTTGTCTGTTGGTTCATATCTCTCACGTTCTGTTCTCACTTTAACCTAAAGAGAGAATATGTAAACAAAAATGTCATATTTGTTAATAAATGCAAATACTTTTGGGCCAGGGAATACTTTCAACTGTGGCTGTCAGTGGTTGGAGACTGGGGGACATTGTGTTTCACAGAGTTTCCGCTTGGGATCCTGCCTTTTGAGAAATATAGATACAGGCATCTCCCACTGGGGCAAGTAAGAGAAGGCTCAAAAACTTGTGTGTCTGTGTGGGATATTCAGTCCTATGTTTCAAAAGGACTTAAGCATCAATGGGGATTAAAATTATGCATAAGAGCTCTGCTGAACTATGGCCTTCAACATCATACTCTTATTCTCTGATGGAAACAAAATCACCATAAAATAGATGCGGGAAAAAACAATCCATTAATATATAAAAGAATTGACTTAATACAGTCTGTAATAGGATTGTCTCCTTTACATGTCCCGTTTTAATTTTTTGACATGATGTTTTCAGATTGGGTGCGTACCTGATGTAGACGCTTCTGTAGTTTTGGTTGAAATAACCGCGGTGTTTTTTCACTTAGCAGAACCATTAATAAAAATGCTAACCTGATTTAAATGGCGTTTTGTTATTTGATAAGTTAAGAAAGGGCTATTTTGACAATTAGAGATTAGATTTTTATTATCTAAATATTTGAAGGGAGAAATTTAACTCTCTAAAACCATATTTTCTGTCTTTTTCAAGTACAATATGTCCTACAGAAGGACATAGTCTCTGCCATCATTCTTTGGAAACTTTCTCAGATATGCTTTTCTAGCAAAGAATGCTAAGGACTTCATTTTTCAATAAAAATGAAATTTTCCAACATTTCTGATGCTTTATAACTCCAAACTGAAGCATAACTGCATTCACCTGCTCACAGATACCCTTTTTAAAAATTATTTTAGAATATAATAACAGAAGTATACATAACAATAATAACAAACAGCAATAACAAAAGACAAGACTGTGTACCTTTCCTTCACAGACATCCACAAGGTCTGCCCATACAGAATCAGCAATGATCTCCTTACGACCACCGTTCTCAACGAAGTAGTAAGCTACCAAGCGAAAGGCAGGCACCATCTTCTCTGTGATTTGTAGGTTTATTATTTTGTTTGAGTAGGGAATCCTTCCCAAAAGCTCAGTTTGCCCCTTTACCACAACCTGCAGGGCAGAAACAAGCACACAGCACATCAAATACTGTGAATGTGCACTTGACTGTGTAGTATATTGCATAATTTTGTATTCATATA